ATTTATTAATTTTTAAGTCATTTTGTCATTGAAATGCAGGAGTGTAGGTTTTGCTTTAACATTAGAGGGGACACATATAAAGTTTGAGTATTAAACACTTCATTTCCTGCAATCTGGTGTAATCTTCTGCACCAATTTATGCCTTTTCTGCATCAGTTGATGGTGGCAACATATTTAATTATGCAAAGGGGAACAAAAAATTCAGGTGGCAGGTGACAATTGAAAATATGAAAATTTAATATAAAGTCTTAAGGCTTTCAGGCATTCTGTATTGCTTTCAGGTACTGCATATTCTCCTGCAGATTAACTCATTTCATTTCATCCCTGCTCAAGACACATCTCTCTTGTTTTCTGTCTTTTATTTAGGGAAGTAACCTCTTTAAATGTGCACGTGGCACCTTTTCAGATCAATGATGCATGAAATAATTTTAGTTCATTTATAAACTCCGATTGCTCCTTAGTTTCAGCAGGATTTCTGCTCAGTATATCCCACATATCTGTGTTCTCTGCCATATCTAGTTAATAGTCGTGATATTATGAGGATAACATATATAAGAATTCATCATTTTGAAAATGTAGTCTACCTGCACTATATTGTTGTGCATTAGTCTGTGTTATTGCTGGGGTCATATCATTGTTTTCCCTTCAGATGGTCTGATAAAAGCAGAACTGTTTGGGATTTCACCATAAGAGACTTTGTTCCTCAGTGCCTGTCTTCAGCTTCACTTTACCTTCACACAAATCTTAAAATGCATGCCATTGTCCACCATTTTAAAAATAAATAAAACAATAACAAAAAAAATAGTATAGCTATCTCATTGTCTTAAATGTAATGGTGTAGCCAATATGCTATAAGAACTTAATCCTTCTTACCTTCATCCATACTTAATTGTTACATGTTAAGATAGTAAAAGCATAAATTAACCATTGACAGATAAATTCATTAAACGTGCAGTTGTTGGCTATAATGTGACATGCAAACATTAGCATGACTTGCTAACTAGGGTACTGAGGAAACCAGTTGTACAGCAGCATTCAGATCTTTTCCTTTCTAAAAGATGTAGGCTAGTACTATTTATAGAAATGAATGAAGATTCATGATTCAAGATGAAGATTCTCGGTCATCCAGGTCATAGTTATCCAACGAAGGTTAAAATCAAGGGCAACTGGACTTGGTTGAGGATACTGGAAGACGTTTCGTCCCTCATCCAAAGGACTTCTTCAGTTCTGACTGACTGGCAGGGAACGAACCAGCGGTATCGATGACCCGGGCCAACGACCCCACTGAGGTTAAATAGCTGAGTTTCCCTGCCAGTCAGTCAGAACTGAAGAAGTCCTTTGGATGAGGGACGAAACGTCTTCCAGTATCTTCAACCAAGTCCAGTTGCCCTTCATTTTACCCTTCTTTGGTTATTTATAGAAATACAGTTTTATTTACAAAGCCCAAAATCACAAATCCAAATTTGCCTCAAGGTGCTTTGCAATATGTAGCCTACAGCATACAACATCCTAGTCTATAGTTAGTATTATCAAGTGCACTTCCTACTTCTGTTTTTCCTTAGAATTAAACCCACAGCTTCTCAAGAAGCTCAAACAGGAAGCTGTGACGTGCTAGACTCAAACCACTCCTAATCTAACATCTGCTCTCAACACTGAACAAAACTTTTCCTCTTAACATATCTAGAGCATTATTGTACGCTCTTTTCACAACATTAAACCCAACCAGGTAAGTACAACTTGACTCTCATAACTGTGGAAAAGAAAGCGTAAAACACTTTCACTTTTAGTTTACACCAAAGGCCTGTCATTCCACTGCATGGACTGGGGCTGTAAAGAGATTGGACCTCATCCATCCATCGCTTATCCTGTGTACAGGGTCGCGGGGGGGCTGGAGCCAATCCCAGCTGACATCGGGCGCAAAGGCGGGGTACACCCTGGACAGGTCGCCAGTCCATCGCAGGGCCACACATAGACGAACAACCACTCATGCCCACACTCACACCTAAGGACAATTTAGGGTTGCCAATTAACCTAGACTGCATGTCTTTGGATGGTGGGAGGAAGCCAGAGTACCCGGAGAGAACCCACGCAGACACAGGGAGAACATGCAAACTCCACACAGAAAGGCCGGGGCAACCGGGGGTTTGACCGGTGATTAAAAAACATGTTTTATTGTTTTTTCCCCCCTTAAACTGTTCAAGAAAAGTGTCGACACTACCGGGCCACAAAATTAACATACCAATAATACCATAACCTATGTTGTAAGAATTTCTTGCATCATTTGTCAAAGTCATTTCATCATTTCATATTTTCAGGCATTTGTCTGTTCATGCATATTAATGATGTAAAGAGGAAGGAAAACAGTGCGGTTTTTAACACCAAACAAACTGTCTTCAAAGACAGCACCCTCCATTTTTGATAAGAAATGTTTATTGTGACTAACTGACATACAGGATTTCTCTTGTATCTGATCTACATGCTGATGAGACTTAACAGATTTGAGGAGCAGCTATGAGTTTAACAGCAGCAGCGAGTGGATTTGTTGTCTTCCTTCTCTCTGTACAAGGTACTGGACATCTACACTTATATTGCGAGGCAGGTAGCACACTTCAGAATATCAGAGGAGAGATTTGAGTAAATAAAAAGATTTGATGTGAGATGTCATGTGGTCCCTGCACGCCTGACATTCACTTCACTTCAATTCACTCTTTCTTTAAAGTCCTTAAAAGACGAGCAACAGAGAGCTGTTTTTTTACACCAGTAACATCTCTGTACATACGCTTATCTTATCGTAACAATGTAAACATTTAAACTTAAGTATTTGTGTGGATTGAAGTGATGACTGCATCAAAAATGTCCTCTAAATCATTTATGTAAATGCTCCATATTTGTATAGCACCTTTCTAGTCTTTTCGACCACTCAAAGCGCTTTTACACTACATCTGCATTCACCAGTCACACTCAGTCATACACTGGCGGAACAGCGGGGTTCAGTATCTTGCCCAAGGACATGAAAAAAATGAATCGTCTGCAGTCCTCCAAACTCTAATTTTTGCCAGCGATTATATGCATAAGAGTACATTTAGAAGTTATTAGCATAATATAGCATAATTGATAAATACAACATGACAATAACACTTACCGTAGGAGTTGAAATGTGGATAACAAAACTTAATGTTGCACTTATCAATAGTTTTATATTAACAATGGTCAACTGAAGACACAGATTTATCACAAAATGTGCTATTCCCTTCAGCTCTACAAAGCGTTTTTTGGCAGCGTTACTGTTTTGTTTCACTTTCCTGGCTCTCATCAGCCTTGTTAGCAGCAGCAGAATGCAGTGAAAAAGCTCTAAAACCCCACTTTACTCTACCAGCCTATTACTAAATTACATAGTTAGCGAGTGTGGTGGAGCATCTAGCTGCTAAAGAGGAATATTTGTCTCAGTAGTTGATGGACACCAAACCAAAGCTAAAACCAGAGTGTATATTTAACTCACATTCATCACATGGCCAGAAACACGGCTGAAAATTAATGCTAATATTATTCTTGGGCAGCTTGACATGTAAATAAGCAACTGTTAGTTAATGTAACTGCCCCTGAGTTGTACTGCACAGTCCTGACTCAAACTGGCAACCTCAGGTACGGGAGTCAAATTGTGAGCCACAGGTCTTGAGACCAACGGCGCCCCAGAGTCCCAACAACAATAGAAAATGTGTTTGGAACAAATAGGTTCAGCCTGTTCTCTGGGACACCCCGGGAAGAAAGGAATTCTTGTATGTGTTTACATTTATTTGTTTAGCTGATGCTTTTCATCCAAAGCGACTTACAATTGCTATACACGTCAGAGACACCTTTGGAGCAACTAGGGGTTAAGTGTCTTACTCAGGGACACAATGGTGGATGGGTCACAAGGGGGGATTGAACTCAGGTCTCTCACACCAAAGGCATAGTCTTATCCATTGTGCCATCACCACTGTATTTCGTAGACTCTTTTTATGTGGAAGTCACCCGTTGATTTGTGGACTGCCGTTTTGAAACCTCAATTTGGCCGATAGGTCGCCGCCATGTTGAGGTTTTGCAACCAGCGGCACCGGACTTGACTATATTTGGACAAGACGGTGGAGCTAACAGTCGTGTGTGGAGCTACCTAGCTTGCTTAGCTAGGTGCATCTGTAATTCACGTTAACTGTCATTTTAACAGGGCTGACAATTTTATCTAACGAACGACAGTCTTAAAACTAAATGTACTCACCAGAGAAAGTGAACAGTCAACTCCTAATACGCTTTTTCAACGGCACTGGTTAAATTTACACAGTGCCGTGGGTACGAGTCACAGTATAAAAAAACGAGTCAGGTTGCTATGGTAACAACTTGTGAATAATAGATAATCCCGCCCTGAAGCACAATCCATGCTTCCGTGCTTTCTGGTCTATGAACATCATGTTCTAATGAAGAACATATGTTTGTGTGGCGCTCACACATTGAGCGCCACACAAACATTTTCTCATGGAGTTAAAAACAACGCGACTAAGTATGTCGTGATCAAAACCTTTTCACTCCCAACTTGTCACATCTGGTCCATTAGTCAAATCACGTTACATCGCCCTGGATACCTCTTTAGCGTAGTTTTTCAGCGTTGAGGGCACCACAGTCAAGTTAGCAACAATAAATATGCAACATCAAATTAGACTTTCAATATAAAGGTACGTGTTTAGGTCTTAGACTGGATAAAAGAAGCGGAGGCAGTCACTGTGATGTCAGTTATTGGTTTCTGGACTGCCGTTTTGCAGTCTCGAGTTATGTTTCTAGTTAAGAAAATACTCAGATATTTTATTTCATGTTCCCTTGCCCCCAAGCACAAGTTAATATTATGATATTATCTTTATCTCACATTGACGCAAGTGGGATGGCATGAGAGCAGCTAAGTTGTTGTTGAGGCTGATTGTAGTTTCTGATGTGCTCTGTGTTACAGTGATTCAGGGTCAGTATGGCTGGGGAGTGACTTACACCTCTACTCAGATCTGTGCCTTAAAAGGATCAACAGTGGAAATAAGATGCACCTACAGATACCCATCCAGAATAAATGGCCATGTTACTACAGTTGAGGAAACATTCTGGTTTACTCAGATGAATAGATATGTACCTGTGGATCTGAGAACAGACTCAAGGTATGCAGGTCGTTTGCAGTACAGTTGTTCTAACAACATCTGCACTCTGAGAATCACAGACCTGAGAGAGAGCGACTCAGCTGAGTACAAGTTCAGGTTCATAACAAACCAACCAAAAGGAAGATATACTGGTTCACCTGGAGTCACTTTGTCTGTCAGAGGTAACATTTTTGTTGGAAACCATAGAAGTTAGCTCCAAATGCTCAACAAGTGGTGTGCTTATTACAGTTCAGTTTAAAATCATATTTTGTTTCTTTACAAACAGGTTTGCAGGTGGAGTGGAGCAGCTCAAAAGCACAGGTTAAGTGTCACAGCAGCTGTCGTCTACTTGATCAAACCTCCTACATCTTGTACAAGAATGGACAGACAATTGACAAAGAAACATCTTATTCAGCTGACATTTCTCCTGCAGACAGTTATTCCTGTGCTGTGAAAGGACTGGAGGGTTTCCCCTCTCCTTCAGTGTGTGAGTTTACTCCTCAATCTTCCACTCACACAACACCATCTGGTGGAGCTGTATAACTACATGTATTTTTAATACAGACACCCTCATTGTGACTCCTCACCAGCTCTGGTTTAAAAATGGTCCAAAAATATTTTATCTTTCAGGTGTCCGTGGTCAAACCTGCAACAGAGTGACTTACACTGACAGAAGCATCTGTGCCTTCAAAGGCTCATCAGTGGACATTTCTTGTACTTACAACAGTTATTCCACAGATATCAGATCTAAATTCTGGTTCAGTCCTGAACGTAGTCTTCAGTGGCAGAATCCCTCACAGCCTGAGGACCTTAGTGAAGACTCCCAGTATGCAGGTCGTGTTCAGGTCCTTGACACACAGAGAGGACGCTCCACTCTGAGAATCACTGACCTGAGAGAGAGCGACTCAGCTGAGTATCACTTCAAATTCAACACATGGAGCTTTGAATGGAGGAGTAGTTTACCTGGTACAACTCTGACTGTCACAGGTACTGATGAACACAAACTGTAACAGCACATTTAAACTATCTGATGACAAGTGAATGTGCTGAATAGTGATCCTGATGGGAAATCAATGTATGTGTTGTCATAATGTTCTATTGTTTATTTCTCTGTGTATGTCTGCGTGATTCAGTTCTACATAAATAACAACTATTCATGTTTCTTCTTCACAGATCCAGATCTCCAGGTTCAGGTGATCAGATCAACAGACTACACATATAATCAGGCAGACCTGCTTTGTTACAGCAGCTGTCGTCTACCTGATCATTCTTCCTACATCTGGTACAAGAATGGACAGAAAATTCAGACAGAAACATCTTCTTCTTATTCTGACTACTTTGATTCTGCAGACAGTTATTCCTGTGCTGTGAAAGGACTGGAGGGTTTCCCCTCTCTTTCAGTGTGTGAGTTTACTCCACAATCTTTTACTAATATAACACCATCTGGTGGAGCTGTATAACTACAGAACATGTATTTGTAATAAAGAGACCCTCACTGTGACTCTTTGCCAGCTCTGGTTTAAAAATGGTCAGTAATGGTTTTCTCTTTCAGGTGTCTATGGTCAAATCTGCAACAGAGTGACTTACACCGACAGAAGCATCTGTGCCGTCAAAGGCTCATCAGTGAACATTTCTTGTACTTACAACAGTTATTACACATATATCAGATCTAAATTCTGGTTCAGTCCTGAACGTAGTCTTCAGTGGCAGAATCCCTCACAGCCTGAGGACCTTAGTAAAGACTCCCAGTATGCAGGTCGTGTTCAGGTCCTTGAAACAGAGAGAGGACGCTCCACTCTGAGAATCACTGACCTGAGAGAGAGCGACTCAGCTGAGTATCACTTCAAATTCACAGCAGGAAGCTTTGAATGGAGGAGTAGTTTACCTGGTACAACTCTGACTGTCACAGGTACTGATGAACACAAACTGTAACAGCACATTTAAACTATCTGATGACACGTGAATGTGCAGAATAGTGATCCTATAATTTTACATGTGATTAATTGATTACATTATTGTCATAATGTTATTACAATGATATTGTTTATATCTCTGTGTCTGTCTGAATGTGATTCAGTACCACATAGTGATGCCCTGTGGCGTCACTTTGTGGGTGTGGCCAATCTCTGTGGCGTATTTGTAACGCCTTATTCTCATTCTTGGAGAGGTTGCTGCTGGGCTCAGGATGGACCGCTCTGCTAACTTGCCACCATCTGTTTCCCTCCATAGTTTCCACCTTTGCCTTGGTTTCTGGACATGCTGTTATTATTTCTTGCACATTACAACACCCTCACACACATTTTCCATGCATCCATCATCCTGCCCTGACCTGACGGAATCCACTGATGTTCATACCCCATACTTGTTCACTTTTACTTTGGCACCAGCCTTAATTTGGTTCATTTTGGTTTAAATAAACATATTTTCTTAAACTTCTACCATGGCATGTCTCCCTTTTGTTGTGGCCTTTTGAGCCAGGTCATAACAAAATAAAGAACAGTTATTCATGTTTTTCTTCCCAGATCTCCAGGTTCAGGTGATCAGATCAACAGTCTACCAGAATTATACTGAGGCAGAGCTGCTTTGTCACAGCAGCTGTCGTCTACCTGATCGTCCTTCCTACGTCTGGTTCAAGAATGGACAGAAAATGGAAAGCGTGGAGACATCTTCTTATAAACATCAGTTTTATCCCAGAGACATCATCTCCTGTGCTCTTAAAGGATGTGAGGATTTCCCCTCTCCTTCAGTGTGTGAGTTTAATGGACTGTTGTGGAGGGAAAAACATGGGTACACACTGAAATTACAATACAAATTACAATTTCAGACATAACCTTTTTGGAGTCATCTAGATCTCAATGTAGACACAGCAGCATTATTTAAAGAATTAATGAAACATCTACATTTCGACAGATGGTTTTCATCTTCACCTTCAGTAAGTGCTGCTGCAACCACAGTGTGGATAAGTAATGTGAAACTGGAGCCATTTGCAAACTATTACAACAAAACTTAAAGTCTCTTTGCAACAGGATCTGAACACAAACAAGATTGAACATTCATGTTCACTTTTGTAAAGACAACAAGTGTGTGGTTAATGATGCAACTTAAAGGTTTGCTCCCCACCGCCAATCAATATATAAAGTCTGTCATGTGGACTTATTCTGGCAGAAATATTTACAAAACTGCCACTGTGACAAACAATCAAAAAGAAACAAATACATATTTAATAAAAATAGTAATTCGTCTATGGTAATCTATTCTAATCTTTAAGTAAATCATGTTCATCTCTCCTCCAGATGCTCCAAAGCTTCCCTCTGTGTCAGTGAGTCCCTCTGCTGAGATAGTGGAGAACAGTTCAGTGACTCTGACCTGCAGCAGTGATGCTAACCCAGCAGCTAAATACACCTGGTACAAGGAGAACCAAACTCTGCTCAGTGAAGAACCACAGCTTGTCTTCAGCTCCATCCAGTCCTCTGACTCTGGAGAGTATTACTGTGCAGCTGAGAACCAGCTGGGGAGGAAGACAACTAAATACATCATTAATGTGAAATGTGAGTGGAACAAATTCTTAAAAAAACAGCTTAAATCTGTCCAGTCTTTGCAGGAAAATATTTTAATTACACTTTGATGGCACAGTGCTGTCACCATGGAAGAGAGGCTGAATACATTATTAGCAGGAGGAACATAGAACCAGCAGGTGGAGCTGGAGCAAGACTCAGTAACATCCAATCATCAGTACTTCTCATCATTGTTTGAGGAGGTTTGAGGGTTCATATCTGTGTGTAACAATAGGCCTGTCTGTCTGATGCCTAATTATGTTGTTAGTTACTTAAGCAATTACAGCACATTTACTCAATCAGTCATGTCCCACAAGCTTCCATGTTAGTAATCACGCCGCAACTTAAAATACTGTGATACTGAGATATTACATATGAAAGAATTGAAAACTCCATTCCCCTCACCACAAAAGAAATTATATTGTTTGGTTTTAGAGGAAATATTTTTTGGATATTGCTTAAATTTGAAATGCCCTGACAGTTTTGATTTAGGATGCATCATGACGGTGACCCCTATACATCTCTTCAAATGTTTTTACTGTATAGTTTGAAAAGCATGTCTAATGTCAGTTGTGTGTAGAAAACCACAGAAGGTCAATCACCTAACTCACCAAGCTTGACACTGTGTGTAATATCACTGGCACTGTGTCAACCACATGTTAATTTCATGTATCACCCCTCTAAGTAACGCTATGTTAGTAGTAATACACATGTGTATGCAAAAATTTGAAGACCCAGCACATGTTAAACAAATCAGTGAAATAATGTTTTTCCCACAGTGTTAGACGTTTTTGGGTCAGTTTCCTGTGGGAGGCCACCAAGAAAAGGGTCATGGAGAGGAAACCGGTGGTCAAGTTTCATGTACAGGTCTATTAGTGGTTTTTAATAGCTTGCTAGCTAGCTTTGTAGAAGCAATAACAGCCTGTCTCATGAAGCAGGATTTCTAAAGCAGGTGGATAACAAAGTAACAACTGGCACATCAGAATAATGAATCAAATAATTGTAGGCTATTGCTCCTCCAAGCTTGTGGCAGTCTGTGCCTCAATACAGGCCTGAAAAGTTGTCTCTCTTTTGTCCCCAGATGCTCCAAAGCTTCCCTCTGTGTCAGTGAGTCCCTCTGGTGAGATAGTGGAGGGCAGTTCAGTGACTCTGACCTGCAGCAGTGATGCTAACCCAGCAGCTAAATACACCTGGTACAAGGAGAATGAAGACTCACCAAAAGCATCAGGACAGAACTTCACCATCACTGACTTCAGAGCTGAACACAGTGGGAATTATTACTGTGAAGCCCAGAACAGAAGAGGACGTCATAACTCCACCTTACATCTGACTGTTGTGGCAGGTAAATCATGTTCATTAACCTGCACACTCACTCACTTCCATAACATTTTGGAAGGTGCGTCCTGTAGTTTCTCTCCTCGGGTGATTGAGGACAAAGTCAATCATTAATCTTTAGCATGTGTTGCAAAACAATCAGACCCACAATGCTGTTGTCCAAGCATTAAGGACCACCAATATATTGGCAGGGTCTGTTGCACTGCCTCAAAACACTTAATACTGTGCTGTTGGTAAGAACATGTTATGGAACTATAGTTCACATGACTCATTATTTACAATGCTTCTGGCTGCAGATATAATTTTCTTCTGTTTGATCTGTTTCCCAGGTTCAATGAAATCATTAATTGTTGGATCAATTTCTGCTATTTTTCTGGCTCTCATACTCCTCTGTGCCTTACTTTTGATTAGGTAAGCAGATCAATTTTACTGTGATTATATTCAGTGGTGCACCTTAAAGTCGTTCAGTAATGTCATGTTATGATTTGTTTGTTTATTGATTCTCCTCTCTAGAAGAAAGAGGTCTTCAGAACAAACCACAAAGCCTGGAGAGAGACCAGACAACACAGCACAGGTGAGGAAGAAGAGTTCAGATAGTCCTCCAGTGAGAGTCCACCCTCACCTGAAAACTAAATTCAATCATGCTTCTTGTCCCTCTTGGATACTTTCCTCACCCAAACCTTCTGTCTGCATCACCATCTCTTCTTTCACCCTGTTCATTTCCATGTGATAAAACTATGCAATTGCTTTTCAGCTAAATATGAGTTCAGTGTGCAACAACCCTTCAGCTGCAGCACAGAGAAAACCAGCAGAGGAGTCAAACGATCTTCACTATGCCAGCGTAAGCTTCTCTAAAAACCAGGAAGATCCTCTCTACTCCAACATCAGGCCAGCTCAGCCCAACAGACACAAGAATGAAGAAGAGGAGGACGAAGATGGTGTGGAGTACAGTGCTGTCAACTTTAAGAGTGCCAATGCTTCAGAAGAGTGAGTCCATGAGAATTTTATTTATTCCTGCCATTTATTTTGTTGCATCTGTCATTTTCAACCTGTTCTTAGTTAATACTGTACTTTTCCCCTGATAATTATATTTTTCATTCACAGATAGAGATGTCAAGAGACTGTGGTGGATGCATCTGCACTTTACAGCACAGTCCAAAAAAACAAGACAGTGAACACAACATGAATCTGTGGTCCATGGCTTTACAGTGTTTAAGCAGAATTCCACAGCAACATTAATACATTAGATTAAAGGAAACTAAAAAAAAACATAAAAACAAACTTCGCTTTTCTTACAACCAACAGGTTATTACAAAAGTTTGTAAAAATGCTGAATTTAAAGAATCTACACATCCAGCAGACAAAATGAAATCATGGAAAGTGCATTCACCATATCAGGAATCCATTACACTCATCACCAGTTTCTTAAGAATGATTTAGTAAAAAAAAATAAATGTCAGTTTATACAATACTATTGTCACTGGTCTTGATTTGAGGCCTTAAACCTGGTCAACAGCTTAACTCTTGTTCTAAATCTGTGCGTAAGTTACCGAATGTTAAAACGGTTGGTGACATTAATTTTGCTTTGTGTTACAACAACAGCTATCTCATTCTAAGTAAATACAATGTTTGAGCTGATACTGTATTGCCTTAATTGCCACAACATCCAGCCAAGTACTAGTATCAGTTAGCAGTTAACAGTTTCAGTCTGTGTGGCTCATTCACAAACTTACAGAGCATTTGCTTGAGGGTCTGATTGAACCGCTCCGTCAGCCCTTCTGTTTGCGGGTGGTAGAGCGTAGTGCGCACTCTTTATGCCGAGGAGTTGGTAAACCTGTTTCAAAAGTTTAGACATGAAATTAGTACCTTGGTCTGTTAAAATTTCACAAGGGAAACCAACTCTTGAGAAAAATTGCACCAAGGAAAAAGCCACAGTTTTTGCTTTAACTGATTTCAATGGGAAGACTTCTGGATATTTAGTTGCATAGTCGGTTACTACCAACATGAAGCGGTTTGCTGTTTTGCTTTTCTCCACCGGACCAACAATGTCCATCCCAAGACTCTCAAAGGGGATACTTGTAACTGGGAGAGGTTGAAGTGGAGCTTTGGAGGGGCTTTTCATTGACGTCTTTTGGCACTGAGAGCAGCTTCTACAGAACTGGGCGACGTCAGTTTGCAAACCTGGCCAGTAGAAATGGCGCTTAATATGAGCTGTGGTCTTATGTTTCCCTAAGTGGCCAGCCCAGGGAATGGAGTGACCCAAGGCAAGTACCATTTCTCAGGCCACCTGTGGGACCACTAGCTGCTTCACCTGGCCATTCTGATGGTAAAGAACACCGTTCTGTAGGACATTCTCATTTTGCTCACTCTTAGTATTAGTCTCCTGCTTCCTTCCTCGTGCCCTCTGCAAAAGGGTAGACAAAGTTGGATAATTGTCCTGCATTTGCATTATATCCGTAGGTATTTGAAAACCCAGAGGCAGGTCTGGAGTAGCCTCAGCTGGTGGTTGCTAGTGGCATTAGTTGGTACATATTTTCTCTGTACAAG